TCCCCCGCCTCCCCTCCTGTAGTTGATGGTCTCAGGTGACTTCATCCGCTTCCTAGCAGAAAATTCACAAAGCAGTTGAGCTTTAAAAAAAACTGTGACCGTGAGGAAATGTTCCACTGCCGTCCTCTTTGGTTCTCTTTTCTTTTCCCAGCATGCTTTGTGAATGTCGGTGCCACAGGGTCCGGCCTTGAATGTCAGTGCTAATTCAAGGCATGGGATCAATGCTGAACGGTTACACGGTCGACCCGGTCGGTGGGTGACAGGTGCAGACAGAACCCTGCGATCATCCGTCCATGTCTTGATCTGTGTAAAAAAAACAACAACAACAACAAAAAACAACAACAACAACAGCGTCAACACTTCATGGGAGGACTTTGAAGAGACAAACTACACAGACTCTACTGCAGTATTTGGGTTTTTTTTTGTCTGCGTCACTTCTGAAATCCTGTTAGGAACAAAGTCTGGTCTCAGTCACTGGTCTGATCTGAACACTGCAGCTGGTAGAACTGGTGCGACTGGGAGAGACCAGTGTTGGTTTGGTTTTATTATTGGTTTGTACGGCTTATTTTATACACAAATTAACATTAAATTAACATGAATTAGAATAGCATTAGAACAGGCTGTAACGAGTTGTAAAATTTGACTGGTTCAGTGTCGGCCGTATCTGGCCCGCAGGCCATAGTTTGCCCATATCTGCATTAAAAGAAGAAAATTAAAATAAAATAAAAAAAATGAATACACAGAGAAAGTTTATATAAGAATAAACAAAGATGGAACTGAATTTTACAATCGATACAAATAAAATGATAAAACGAGTCATTTTTAACCTGGATTCTCAGTGTAGTAAAGACATCTGTACTGCCCCTGTGGACTGGAGGAACAATTACACCTGCTAACTTTTTCGCACACGTCACACTGTTCTCTTCAAACTCCTCCGAAACGAAGCGTTAGCCTTGTTTTTGTTCCCACTCTGTGTGTGTGTGTGTGTGTGTAGTGAAAACGTTAGCTTTAGCTGCTACATACGACGTCCTGAGCTTTTTCTGACTGATGACGTTTTCTCCCAACCCCCCGTCTCCGTCCCTGTCCCTGCCCCCGCCCCTCACCTTCTGCACCTCCACAAATCCTCCAGAACAAGAACCAGCCGCAGCCTCGTGAGGCGGTGGGCCTGGAGGGTGATGAGGAGGAAGACGTGGGCGAGGAGGCCCACTCCCCCGTGGAGCAGGACAGTCTTATGCCATCGGACGAGGCCAGTGATTCCTTGTCTCGCGATCGCAGGGGGAGCCCGTGCCACAGGGGGGGTCAGGAGGAAGAGGAGGAGGAGGAGGAGGAGGAGGGAGAAGAGGAGGAAGAGGAAGAGGAGATTGAGTACGCCTCCTCCTGCCACGCTCGAACATACAGGGACATGTACCCGCCTCACCGTGGGCACAGCGGCGGTGCTCACAGTGCCAACGGGCACGAGTCGCAGGACAGGCTGCTCCAACGCCAGGCTCAGCAAGGTCACAACCAGAGGAACAACCGGCAGCGTAGCCGTCCCTGGCCCAGAGACACCTACTGAGAACCACCCCCCCGCTGATACAACAGCCCATGTCACACACACGGCCTTTCTCTGCCTCCTCTCCCCTCACACACCGTTGTAAAC